TGTTGTTATACTGACTAGGTAATAATAATAACTTCGATTTGTAAAGCACCTTTCATTGCTAACAGCAATTCTAAGATGCTACAGGAGGCATAATAAAAACGAACAAAAGAAACAAAAGTTTCATCAAACGCTTTTTTAAAAAGAAAGGTTTTTAGGCCTTTCTTGAAGGCATCAGTGGTCTGAATGTTAGGGTCCCTGAAGCCCTAACATTCAACCCTCTGAACCCCAAACTGTTTCTGTTTTTTTTGCTCCTTCACATTTAAATCAGTTGTTATCATTGCAGTAAAACAGCATAATCTTTGCTAGAAATACAAGTGACATCAAACATGTATTTTGTGTAAAATAACACAGCTATGAAGCGATAAATCATTATTAAACTGAAAAAAGTTAATAATACATTTTACTGCAATTCTATACAAACAAGTGGTTTCCAAGTCCCCCGAAGTGATGCCAATAAAAAAATAAAACACATATGCTACCATTTACATTTTTACAATCTTAAATTAAAACCTCTTTTGTCATTCCTGTCTGCATAGAGACATATTTTTTACAGGATCTGGTTTATTTTGAAATTGAAATTTAGACATAAGGTCATTTTAAGATCGAAGCTGTGGTAGAGAGGAGGACACTTAAACTGTTATCATGGATAACCCCATCCCCCACTCTCCACCTGCAGCTGGACAGACAGCGGAGCTCCTTCTCCAACAGACTGCTGCAGATCGGTACAGGAAATAATTCCTGCCTAAGGCAATAACCCTGAACAACAACTCACCTCTGGCGGACAGAACTCACAGCCTTTTAATTTGTTTAGGTTCTCCCTTTCTATAATCATGAACAATCTCAAGGGAGAAAACTCCCTCCAGAGGGAACTCTTGGATGTCAGCCTTTGCAGACCATACACAAAAACCTATACAACAGACTACAGGAAAGGGAATACCCTAAAAGCATAATAGTGTCCCTTTAAATATAGCAAATGTGTAATCTGTACTATGTACTGCTGCTGTAGTAGTACAAGGTTTGTACTCACCAGTCTTCTGGTTTGACGGCCTCAGGATCAGGCATCTTGGCCCTCTCGTCCCAGTCCTCGGGCTTGGAGTCAGATGGGTCATCGATCTCTTTGGGGGGGTTGACCGGAGGAATGACGTCGTGCAGCAGACTGCCGCGGCTCACGCTGGACTGGTCGATGAACATCTCGTAACTGTTGTCTGGGTTCAGGACTGAAAACGGGAAGAAAATGCTAAATGAATGTGTGAGCAAAATGACACATTTTATAAAAGCACAGAAAGGTATATAGATATATATTCTCCTTTGGAATTGTCTCTGTACCCAAAGTATAGAGGTGAGTCTTCTTGTCAGTGTAGAACTTCTTGAGGTCCACGTCGGCCCTCTTGGCGTGCTTCTCCTCCGTGTCTTTGTTCAGAGGGTTGAGGTGGCGGAAGATGAAGTGCAGCTTGTAGTCCTCACCACACTTGTCGGGTCCAAACATGAGGCTGTAGGCGGTACGGTCTTGGAACTGCTCCTACGGTGCAGAATAAAAGGGTAAATAGAGTTATTGTATTTAGTTCAAATCTGGACAGCATTTACCAAGTTATATTACATGAGCACAAGACAGAGTAGGAATGCTGCAAAGGTTTTGGTTTCCGTTTCAACCAATATTAAGAAAGATAACTTAAGTCTTTATTAATACACTTTATTTATGCTGTTGTGTTTAATTGTTTAGTAAAAATATGACTTAACAGGCAAGGCAACAACCTTTAATTTCTATGACAGAAATGGCACAGATTTCTTTAATCATCATCTGTGACATGTTTTTTTTTTACAAGAAAAAGATGAGGCTTGTATGTGTTGTATTTAACATTTTTCGAGACTAAATATTCTAAACAGGGTTTTTTGTTCTTGTTCTTTTGCTGCGCTGCATATCAGGATTAATAATAATACAAAGTTTGCTTAATATAATGATTAGAAAATACTTTTTTTGTACTTTGAAAATCAGAATACCTTAATTAGTCCCACAGAGGGGACATTTCCATTTATACCGCAAAGTAAAAAGGCAACATTTTAAATAAAAGGCATGCATAAAATATAATACAATATTTCAGTATTTAAAATAATAAATAAGTGTAGCTTGTAGGAGCAGTTTGATAGCCAAATAACAGTAGTGAAATTAAAACTATATAAAGATGCTGCTCAAACTTAAGTCAACCACAATCTGACTATTAAAAAAAAAAGGATTAGATGACTAAATATGATAAAAACTAACAAGTACATTTTCAGCTGCAAAAAAACCTTAGGCGTTACGAATGGAGCAAGGTAGAAATAAAGCATGCAACCAACCAGATTGAGATCGCCGGTGTCAGAGAGCAGTTTGATGTATGCGCCACCACAGTCAATACCATCCTGGAAATTCACCTCATACCTGGAAACAGAACACAACCAAGCAATTTAACAACTCCTTGATTTTAGTCTTTCACTTATACATCCATCATGGAAAGTTCCTCTTGGATAAAGAAACATTTGAGTGTTTGTCTTATTGAACTCACTGTACGACCAGAGTATCGTCCTGGAAGACAAAGGGTTTGTTCAGCATGGAGGAGATGGCGTGGTGTTTGGCCCGGGACTTGAGCACCAGACCTTTGTCTCCTGGAATCTTGTTCTCCTTCAGCTGCTCCACAGCCCACTTCCCTACAGCCGGAGAGGAGACAACCTTTTATTGCGTTGTTCATAGTGAGGTTCCAAAAGACTCTGCTTGAGAAAGCTATGTGTAGCTAACAGAATATAGCCGTCGTATGGCATCAATGGCATATCCAAGTGATATCACAACAAATAGGGTTAGTCCCTAAAAATGTAATAACATGTGAAAAGTCCAATGGCCATGTTAGTTAAAAAAATAGGGCGATATTATTCAAAAGAAAAAAATACGGATTTCACAAGATTATTATTCCTGGAGTGGAGGATTTATTAAAAAATATACTTTATAAATCGGATTTTCCAATAATAAATACTCCTAACTTTAGAAAATTGTAACCATATTATCATAAGCATCCAGACTTTTAATACACATTATCCTGAATTTGGTCTCTATAGAAATTACACCACAAGAAATTGATGATGGCTATCATGTTAAATGGTTATGGCTATCATCAAAAATACAGTTTTCAGAGTTTTTTTTCTTGTGAATTAGTGACTTTCATCATATATTTCAGGGTTTTTTTCTCGAATGTATCACTTTGTATAACTTTAAAATCCCAGTTGTTTATAGTCTCTGGTAAATTACAATTTATAATCTCAAAAATACAGAATTTTCTTGTTAAATACAACGGTGGCCCGCAGGTACAAATGCGTGACAATGGCCCAATACTTTTCCATAAGGAGAAATGTGCTAAAAGTTAAAAAAAATGATGCAAAGATTTGACAGTTGGCAAACAAACCTTATATGCAACAAACACTCCGCTGTTTGCGTCACTTTGTAGTGTCCCCGTTTCTGTTGTGTTTTGAGCTTCTTGCAGCGTTTTTTTATTTGCAGCATTTTTATGGAGCTATTTCAGAGTCATAAGTTTTGATCATTCAAAAAAATACAATTTATTTGAAAGTCCAAGTTTTCATCCTGAACTTTGAAAAATACAATGTTGTATTCAAAACAAAAAAAATTATTTGAAATAATTTTCCAGGTTGAATATTATTTTGATTCAGTTCAGCAATTTTTTTTAATAAAATATTTATTTTCATATTTCACTTTTATACATATTTTGATATTTGAATACTTGTTTTTTTCAGTTTCAGATTTTACATTTTCAGTTTCAAAACAATTATTTTTTCAGTTTCAAATCTTTTTTTTTCAGGTTTCAATCTTTTTTTCGCCTTCAGATCGTTTTTCGCTTTCAGACTTTTGACCCTGATATTGCCTCGGGGGGCGGGGCTTACCAAAGAGTAGTTTGGCACCCTGAGTGACCCTCCCTCTGTCATGATGCCTTCATGGATGATGCCTTCATGGATGTTAGGTAGCGCAAGAAATACAACTACACACTTTCTATACACAATACTCCCGTGATTGGTGGTAAACAAAACTGATACCAGCATCAAAGTTCCGTTAAGCGAGCTGTTGAGCATCGTAGTTGGCAACAATCAAGGTATAAGAGCAATAAACTGTGCTAGAATCTGAAATCACGTATCAGCAATCAAGCGTTGTCCTTCCCCACTTCCACGTAGCTCCATGAACGCAGCATAGTATTGGCATGGTTTTTGCGATCAGAATCAGAATACCTTTATTAGTCCCACAGGGGATACATTTACATTGTTACAGCAGACAAGACAGCTTAATGTTACCTAAAGCATGCATACAAAAACTATTAAAGATTAAAAAAGAAATTGTATATATGTTTAAAGTTACACATTTTACATAATACACACCCTGTGACAGTTCTGCAGATCTAGCAGCCAGGTATATATTGCACAGTTTTTTAACGGCATATATATATTGCACATACTGCAAATATTGCACATAGGTATTTATCAACAAGAGGTGTTATAGTCTGTGTTGTTTTGTGCAGGGTCTACTAGGGGCTGTGCTGGTTGTATAGTCTGACCGCTGCAGGAAGGAAGGACCTGCGGTATCTCTCCGTGAGACAGCGGGGGATGGCGTCAGGTCCACCAGAACAACCTGCTGGCTCGTTGCGGATACGTAATTTCACATTCTAACAGTTTATTTGTACTTGATTGTTGCCAACTACGATGCTTAACAGCTCGCTTAATGGAACTTTAAGGCTGGTCTCAGTTTTCTAACATCCATGAAGGCAACATGACAGAGGGAGGCCTGTCACTCAGGATGCCAAACTACTCTTTGGTGAGCCCCGCCCCCCCAAGCAATATCAGGGCCA